CGCACTACTTTCGTACTTAAAAGTTGCGATTTTCGAGCTCCAGCTGCAAAAGTGGACTTTGCGTATTACTTTCGTACTTAAAAGCCCCAGCTGCGAAAGTGGACTTCGCGTACTACTTTCGTACTTAAAAATTGCGATTCTCGAGCCCCCGCTGCGGATGTGGACTTCACGTACTACTTTCGTACTTAAAAGTTGCGATTTTCGAGCCCCAGCTTCCAAAGTGGACTTTGCGTGCTACTTTCGTACTTAAAAGTTGCGATTTTTGAGCCCCGCTTGCGAAAGTGGACTTCGCGTACTGCTTTCGTACTTAAAAGTTGCGATTTTCGAGCCCCAGCTGCGAAAGTGGACTTCACGTACTACTTTCGTACTTAAAAGTTGCGATTTTCGAGCCCCAGCTGCGAAAGTGGACTTCGCGTATTACTTTCGTACTTAAAAGTTGCGATTCTCGCTGCGAAAGTTGACTTCGCGTACTACTTTGGTACTTAAAAGTTGCGATTCTCGAGCCCAGCTGCGAAAGTGGACTTCACGTACTATTTTCATCTATATATCTTTCTATCTCTTTGTTTATCTATCTATCTACCTATCTATCTACTTATCCATCTATCTATCTATCTATCTATCTATCTATCTATCTCTTTTTTATTTATCTATCTCTCTCTAACTATCTACTTTCTATCTAGTCTGTCTATCTATCTATCTATCTATCTGTCTATCTATTTATCTATCTCTCTATCTGTCTATCTCTCTCTCTACTTTCTATTTAATCTACCTATCTGTCTATTTATCTACCTATCTATTTTTCTATCTATCTATCTATCTCTCTCTCTCTCTTTTGATCTATCGATCAATCTATCTGTCTAGCTATCTATCAACTTATCTACTTCTTTATCTATCTATCTATCTATCTATCTACTTTCTTTCTAGTCTATCTATCTATGTACTTTCTATCTAATCTAGTCTATCGATCGATCTATCTATCTATTTATCTATCTACCTATCTACTTCTTTATATCTGTATATCTATCTATCTCTTTTTATCTATCTATCTATCTAACTATCTACTTTCTATCTAGTCTGTCTACCTATCTATCTATGTACCTATATACTTCTTTATCTATCTATCTATCTATCTATCCATCCATCTATCTATCTACTTTCTATCTAACCTAACCTATCTATCTATCTATCTCTTTATCTATCTATCTATCTATCTATCTATCTATCTCTTTATCTATCTATCTCTCTCTCCTTTTATCTATCTATCTCTCTCTCTCTCTCCTTTCATCTATCTGTCTATCTACTTTCTATCTACTTTCTATCTACTTTCGATCTAATCTATTTATCTATCTATCTATCTAATCGAATCTATCTACCTATCTATCTATCTATCTATCCCTCTATCTGTACCCAAACTTGCGAAAGTGCTGCGCCTACCACGAAATCTGTACTTGACCTTGCGAAAGTGCTGCGCCTGCCTTGAAATCTGCACCTGACCTTTTGAAAGTGCTGCGCCTGCCACGAAATCTGTACTTGACCTTGCGAAAGTGCTGCGCCTGCCTTGAAATCTGCACCTGACCTTTTGAAAGTGCTGCGCCTGCCACGCAATTCAAACCTTGCGACAACTTGACCTTGCGAAAGTGCTGCGCCTGCCACGAACTCTGCGCCTGACCTGTCGAAAGTGCTGCGCCTGCCACGCAATTCAAACCTTGGGAAAACTTGAGCTTGCGAAAGTGCCGCGCCTGCCACGAAATCTGCACCTCACCTTGCGAAAGTGCGGCGCCTGCCACGCAATTCAAACCTGGCGAACCCTTCGCGTTGCCGCGCGCTCCGAGCATGGTCCGAACGTGGTCCGAACGCGCTCCGACCAGGCGCCGCGAACAGGCTAGCTTTCGGCTCTCCGGAGACACCAATTCACGCACGCAGCTTTCTATACTCCCACCACACGCGCGCACATATTTTCTCACGCGCTTATTCCTTCTCTTCATCTGTCTCAGAGAGAGCTAGCTTTCAATTAGTTGCCGTAACACGGAAGTTCCTTCTAAACTTCCTTTGATTATAAATAAATAAAAATCGAGAAAAAAAATGGAAAAAAAAAAGAAGAAGAAAAACAACTCGCCCGCCTGCCAGCTGCAGCACCTTCCACCGCCGCGGCTCCACGAACACCGCACTGTTTGCCGCCTCCGCCACCGCCTGCGCGGCCCGCTCCTGGCTGCTGGGCTGCTGACCAATCGGGCCGCTTCCCTTGGTTGGAATTGATGGGTTCCACTGGTTTATATGGGTTTTATGCCCCATTTGGCAAAGTTTAGATTGGTTTTGCGCCCCATTTGGAAAATTGACATCGATTTTTCCCCACAAGTCACCTGCAGATATCTATTTGAGGCCAACGTTTACTGGCGGTTTGGAGCCCGGTGGTGTGGTGCTGTTAGGGGGTAGTTTCCTATTTACCCCAAATCCGAATCCAAAGCAATCCAAACCACCAACTAAGGATTACCTGAAACATGAATCGGGTCAGCTTCCCTCTTATTCGTGGTTTGGCTCGTTGACATGCGTTTGTCCTTGCTGTTCTTTGGAGTGAGCATGTATTTGCATAGGTTGCAAGACTTTGCCTTGGTTTTGAATGACGAATAAGTTGATGTTGTCATGTTAAGTTGAGTAATGTCAAGAGACGGCAAGGTGACGTCCCGTGGGACGCTATGCACCGAACCCTCAAGCTGTAATACCAACCACGTAGAAAGGTGTATACGGACGATGCCGTTATAGCCGAACCCGTGTAAACGTTGTAAGGGAGAAGGAATGATAGTTACAACAGTAGTCCTGACAAATGCAGCGCAAGCGAAGTGTTTTCGCTCTCAATGCCGATCACGTATGTATGCAGTCACACATCAGATCTTGAACCTCAATTGTGTCTTGAGCCAAATGGCGATCAATGGAACTTGGGAAGCAACACCAACAAGGACCTCAGAACAGCTACCCAATTTCGGCACGGGGCCTAGAGGGTTTTAACATCCCCCATTTGGGTCGCATTGTTCATCATGCGGTCCAAACACCACAAAACGTTCCACTGGCCACGGCTTCAACTACGAAATCGTGTCGTGCATTCTTTTACTTGCTATCACTACACCGTTCATTCGCTGTGAAACATGCCGGGTTCGATTGTACGAAAAGTGAAACATTCATCCTCCAATCGAAGCACACATCCATATGCAGGTGTATATAATACACAATCGTCACGTCATTTGACCGCCAGTGAACATTCCAGCTGCCGCATTTGCGCATCGCGCAGCTGTCATCCATAAATGGGTTGGCCGCAAAAGTCCACCAGAGGCGCCCGCTTGTAATCGGTCTGCATATTCCGGCAAAGAAACATCGGTGAGTAATCAATGCAAATCATAGCCATTCCAGATACCATGGACAATGCATAAATAATGAAAAGATATCATCTATAAGGTAATAGTTCCATCCATGAATATCCAGAGCGTCATAGTCATCGGAATATGTAACCATGTACACATCCATTCAACTTGGATATATGAAATCATATCATAATGTAAAGTCGTTCCATCGCAATGGTGTTGATGAGACGCAAGCAACAGATGGGGACTAACCCACATCGTGCCGCAATCAGCATCTTCACTACGCATACCGGTCCCCAATGGACAGTCTGTGAGTGCGTCGACGGAACTCCTCGTCCAAGTTCTTCTGGGCTTCTCGTGCCCGGACACACTTCTTGTTGTAGTCCTCTGGCAACCAGTGCCCTTTCCGAAGGCACCAATCCAGCAGGGGTGTGTCGCATTTGTTCGGGTCGACGGCCGAGATGATGGCGCTCACGTTGACCGTGTAACCATGTTTGCCAAGGTTCAGGCCATCCCTCACGAATGATATATACTTACAGTTGAAAGCTAGTGCAAAACATCTGAAAATAATATCACCCACCGGGTGCACTCGGTCCTTGACCAGGAGCTTCATTTCTTCCTTGGTGACATCGAGGATTCTCGCTGCAATCCACAGCTTGTAGAATGTGTAAAGTCCCTCGCATTTGCACACCATCATACGAATATATTCGTCACGCTCCTCAACCGATCGGAAGGCTCTTGTCCGAACATTCTCCGACTGAGAAATCTTCGTTATTGTTGATGGCAATAGTATACCTTCCTGATCGTGCTCAGTGATGTTGGGGTACCTCTTGAAATCATTGTGGTAAGGGCAGCCCTCTCTCCCCTCGAGCTTGGCATTCATCGTTCTCTCCTCACCACCCTCGAACATCCCCCACATCTTGGACATCTGGAGTGCGATAAATCCTGCCATGTACTGAGCCTCACGCGGCTCGTCAAGGCAGATCGCCATCCGTTGGGAACTTATAATGTCCCGTGACGCCAGATCGGTGTCGCGGTAATGCCAACCGCTGTCTTCTTCTTCTGACGCATAGCCGGATGTATATCCTTGCGTGTCCATGTCGTCATCTTCTCCCGGAACTTCCTCCGCTTCGTCTTCATCCTCCTGTGCTGCCGCATCGTGGTTAGCTTCTTCCTGTGCACGCCTGGCATCTCCAGAGACGTTGGGGTTTTGGTTGTCCTCCTCGTCATCGGATTTGATGTGAATGTAGTATCTTCCGATGGAGATCAGTTGTGCCTCGCACTCCAGGCATAAGCAGAAGCAGGTGGGGATCGCGGTCGCACATGATGGACATATCCGGCACCTCAGTCCTTCCCATGTCTCGTCATTCAGGATGACGACTTTGCTGATTTCGTCCCGGACCTCGTTGACCTGTGCATTGAACTCTTCCATCTTGTTGATTCGATAGAGTTCGCAGGCACGATTAACCATGTCAACGATGTAGTGCAGATTATCGGCACCTGTCTCAGTCTCCGGCATCCTCTCGCTGATCTTTGCGACGTTCTGGAGGAACATCGCAGCCGACTCTTGGGAAGAGTTGACAAAGCCAGGGCAGATCTCGTTCTCCACACACTTCGAGTACGCCCTCTTGATGTCAGCGTACTCCAGGCGCTTCCCTCCGTTGCTTTTGCCAATCCAAATGGACTTGACCTCATAGAACGGGATCACGTCAAAGACCATGAAAGTCCCATTAGCCGCGACTCCAGCCCCATACCGCGCGAGGGTTGCACTGGGAATATAGATGATCGCAATCGGATCCCCTCTCCTCACGTTCCGTAGCGTTGTCTTCGTCGCCACGTTCATCTCATCCCATGGAGCAAACGCCCCGAAGTGCAGTGCTAGCCTGTTGCCGCCATCGATTCCGCCGGGGACTAACCCACAGCGTACGATGCTTGGCAGGTTTTCCACATACGTCACATGGAATGCTCCTCCGAGAGAATCACCCATTCTTGCGGAATACCTATTCGCCAGTGCGGATGAGCTCATGAATCCAAAATCACTGTGACCGGTTGTGACTCGGATGCACCAAGGTCTGTACCATCCATCGCATCTGTTGAACATCCTGTCGATGTCGTCCCGATCCACGCCAGCTTCGGTCATTTCCTCCCTGGCTGCCCTCGTGTCGTTCGGGTTCATGATGCTCGGAAACCTTGCTGCCAAAACCTGGAATCTCGATTTTCTGCTTCCGGATTCCTGCCACTTGATCACCTCCATGATGCCCATGTATCGTTTCGCTCTCGTGGTGTATGGTGGGAATATGTCGTTGTTCCGGTCGTCAATGACAGCATCAATGTCGACCCATCCACCCTCGTCGCACCTGAAAGCACTTCCTCGGCAATTGCCGATCTTGTGTCGAAGGACTCTGCATAGGTCGTGAGATAGCTGGTTTGCTTGGTCCCTTGTAGTAAATACCGAGCGATCATCACCAATCCTGCATAGTGGAGCACCGTCGAAAGGAGCAATGCAGAAGTTGACACTCTTGCCAAGTTGCATCACGTCCACTTGCTCAAGGATTGCACCTTTGGGAAAGTATTTGGGGTCAACGATGGACGCATACGCCCATGGCAAGTGCACATCACTCACATCGCCATACTTCGGGATGTAGCACGGGATGGTGTCGCATCCCATCTCAAGCGTCTTCTTGAATGTCCTGTTGTCCCCGCACGGGTTGTAGGTGAGGTCGACGCCACCACATTGTAGCTCTCCTCCCTCAGCCGTGTCAGCCATCTCCACCAAATTAATAGTGTAGCTGTACATCTCAATTGTTTCTTTCCCTGCTTGTCCCCCTTTCTTTCTTTCCTTGGACGTTGATGAGGACGGTTCCTCCGTATCCCCCATGTCTTCATCAGATGAAACAGGGTCACTGCTGAGTAGCTCACGGAGCACCTTCATCGCCTTCTCATTTCCAGCAGCCTCCTCAATGTCCTTGCAGTCGCCGTCGTGGGCCAGGTTCGCGCACTTCTTGCAGATCCCCATATCTCCCATGCACTTCTCCATTGACTCCAGGAATCCTAGTGCCGCTCTCCGCCCGTCGATCACTCGCTGCTTCTTGTCTTCCTTCTCAGTATTGGTTTGAGAACTTCGACTCGGGTCTGGTGCTTGACCAAGACCCTCATCTTCGCCCTCCGTGGCCTTTCTCTTGGAACCTTGTGCAGAGGGCTCGGTGATCAGGGATCGTGGATGTCTGGGCTTGACCTTGTTCATGATGTCAAGCACCTCCTTCGTGGGCACGCCGAGCTGTGCGGACGGTCTGTTCCGCTTTCTGTTCTGGCCCGTCGTGTGGGTCACGTTCCCAGCGAGGTGTCGCACTATTGACTGCTCGAACTCCCTCTTGATCTTCCATGCATCCTTCCACAGTGGCAGTTCGTGCTGGAAGTACGACATCACCTCAAAGAATCCCAACACCATCTCGACGACGTCTCCCAAGGATTCCTCGTTCGTGGTTTGTCCCAGGAGTTCATACATCGTTCCTTGGTCGAGCACACTCTTGATCCAGGACGAATATGCCACATTGCCAAGATCCTTGCCTATCAAGAAGATGGACATCCTCTCCTCGACTCCCTCGGAATTCTTGCCCACGATCACATCCCGGGATGCGCACAATTGCTTCCCGTGACCGTTGTTGTAGAACTGCGCTGCTTGATCCACAGTCATGCTCACGAATCCCACGTGAGAAAGCTCCTTCTTCAGCCTTGAATACACGAGCTCCCGTATGATCGTGATCATGGCCTGGATATTGTTGACGTCCACCATGAGGTTTTGAAGGTCGGGGATTGCCACCACGCATTCCGCGAAGAGGCGCGTGTACATTTTCTTCCCCTCGATAGACATTGCAATACCGTTCGTGTCCGCGTTCCAGTTCGCGCAACAGTTCACGCAAGAAGAGGGATTGTACTTCGACTTCGGTCCGAGCACCTTCGACTTGCTCATCTGCATCTCTTTAGCGCAAAGTTCGCAGATAAACTTGCTGAGCTCCGTGACCGTATACCATCGAAGACGTTGATCACCGACATCGGCTTTCCCAAAAGCATCCTGCTCGCCGTGTCCTTCATCTTGCTGCTCTTGTTTCCTCTTCGACTGTGCAGTGAAGGTCGGCTTGTACTCGAA